TGTGCCGTCCTGTCCAAAGGCCCGCGTTTATCGATATAAAACCCCGCGTTTATCGATACAAAGCAGATTTACTGGTGAGCTGGGGGCGAGCGATGCTTGCAGGACACGGAAACTGGGGAGAGCTGTGGGAACTGAGGTAGCGTCGCCTCTCAGGGGCGTGAGCTGCTGCGGCTGGCCTTGTTTAGGGCTCACCTAGCCTAAAAAACACCTTTTTTTTTTTTTTTTTTAACCAGTTCTCACAGCACTTCACGCCTTCCGTCAAGTGTCGCCACAGCTCTTCAGGCCTTGCTGCCAAAATACGCAGTATGGCAAGATGCAGGATTCTGCATTTGGTATTCGGGTTTTGCTCAGCTAGATAGGTAAGAACTTGAAATGGAGGGAAGGTCTTTCAAAATGATTCTGTTTTCAGCCTGTCGAGCCAAATCATTGCAATCTTTGCTGTGGTAAAAAGTGGGCTTAATTTTACGCCTTGTCAGCCTTCCCAAGCTGAGGTGGGTAAGACCACATAAAATGTATTAGCTCCAGCTAAGGCTTTTTAAGAAGTAGCTGGATATTATAAGCACTCAGCATAAAAAACTCCTCAGCAAATCTAGCCCTAACTGTGCTAACCAAGCACTTGAAGCCCTGTGCTTGTCTGTTGGCAGGTGAATACCCCAATCACTGCTGTTGGCAGCTAGTACAGATTGATTTAGAGTTTAGACCCTCATCCTGTTCATTTCAAATGAAAGCTCCCACTGACTTCAGTTGGTCCGGGATCAAACTCTTATGCTTCACTCCCTGCTGCAAACAGAAGATAAGATAATATTAAGTTTGATATCTGTCTACCTGCAAGGACTTATGAAGGAATGAACCATATTCCAATTTTAAATTTATCTCAAAACCCCTGAGCAGTGCTTACACACTAAATGGGTTTTACACAGTAGTCAGAAGAATAGAAAACCCCTCAAGAGACTCATGCTTTTTTTTTTTTCCAGTTCTTCAATTTAAAGCTGTACTAGCTTTATAGGTGACTTATTTGATCTTTCCTTCTCCTTCAGATGTGCAATTGGACTTGACTGTTGCAAAAGTTTACACAGTATCTTGGAGCTTGAAACAATTGAGTAACTTCCTCCATGCCTCCCAAAATGTCGCATTTAATTCTAATCATTTGCAGCTCTCATAGCCTTGAGGATCTCAAAGGATTTTCCGGCATGATTCAGCTAAAGCTTACAAGAGGTAAGTGAAGTTTAGCAGTAGCTTGCAGTCATGGAAACAAGTCTATTTGCAATGGCAGAACTAGGAGTAGAGACCAGAAGTCCTGAATCCCAATCCCATGCTCTAAGTGTTAAACAAGCTCAGTATTAATGAAACAATGAGGCCTGAGTCAGATTGAGAGCTGCATATTGGCAAGGACTGTTCCTTTCTGTCAGGAGAATAAGCTGACAGTTTTTCCAGAAATAATAAAGCTCCTGGAATTCCATGTATTTTTATCAAAACTCTTTAGTCTAAAAGTCTGACACAGGCTTTTTCAGCATCAGTGCCAAAAGCAGCAGATAAAAGTTAATGGAAGATGCATCTTCCTTGAGAGAGTGTGTTCTGTCTTAGTACAAGCTGGAGAAGTATCTGTCACCTTGCACTCTTCTCTGCATGAAATTTAATCTCACAGGCTCAGCAGAAAATGTAAGTTTGCAGCTTTTGTTTAAACAACAGTAGCATCCAGTGATGAGCAGTAAGTGTGCACGCTCCATGACTGTCTGGAGACCAGGAGCAAACCGAAGGGGACTGTGGTTATTTGGGTGGGAAGAGTAAAGTCATTTACGTAGTGCATCTAGGGGGAAACATGTATTTTCTTCTTGGCTGAGGAAAATAGAGAAAATAAGTAGCACAAGAGCTAATTAAATCTGTTTTCTGAATGGTTATGTATCTTGTGGTTGGCTGACTTCAGTGCTGATGAATCCTCAAGTTCGAAATTCAACTTTTCCTATGTTTTTAGCATTTAGAAGGGTATATTATCTTTGCTTGGCTTTGCTGATGTCTGACATGTTCATTTCTCCTGTAGCTGGGGCACTTTAACCTTAGCTGGTGTGCCTCTTTTCTTTTGCAAACTTATCTTCTTTGTAGATCTGTAAAACTGGTTGCAGATCCTAGATCCAGTTGAGTTACCCTGGCTGTATCCCAAATCTGTTAGGAAAAGACCCAAGTATATCTTACCTGTAGCAATGTAGGCAGCCCTGGGTGAAGACAGTGCATGCTCCAACAGGTCCCCTCATGTGGGTAATCAGAGAAAAGCAGGACTGGGATCACCCTCATGAAGTAAATGATCCCAGAACTCTTTTTTTTTTTTTTTTTTTTTTTTTTTTTTGGGGTCATATGAAGTAAGGCCAGTAAAAGGCAGAACTAATTCCTCAGCTTTTGAATGGTACAAAATACCTAGTTCTGTATGACAACCAACATGATTCTATAAAAAGCATGCTTTTTAAAAAGATCATCTAAAGTGCTGGGCTCGCAAGGCCCAAGCCTACATTTGGTGTGAAGTCTGTGAAAACAGTCCAAAGCGTGGCAGAAAAGAAACGGGCCTGTAGTGCTGATGGAGATCAAAAATACCCCCTGAAATGGGCATTTCCCAGTTACACAGCTTCGCTGCCTAATGGCCACAAACCAGCTTGATTCCATTGCGCCAGGTACCGTAGGAGTATGCAATGAATTGCAGGCCTTGCCCCACAGTTTAGCTCATCTCATAAAACACCCATGGTTTAATTCAATTCATCCAAGAAAGCTGAATAACACAGTAGATTTGGGAAGTTGCTTGTGGGTTGCCAAGATTAGAGTCCACTGCTCTCTGGCAGGAAGAAAATTGCAGAAGTGAGGACCTGACCACGCAGAAGAACTAATTTCAGGAGCAACGGCTTGTGTGTCCTGGGACTCGACCTGTAGGTATAACACAGGATTTTGGTAACAGTCTCCCCCGTTGGACAAACCGTGAAGGGACATTGTCTTTAGATGGATGCAACAGGAAAGACCTGATGTGGCCTGAATGTGGAAAGTAGATGTAGGATCAGAAGAAATCTCAGTTCTTAACTCCAGGTGAAGCCCGAGGGAACAGAAGTCGCACAGGTCTCTGTGGAGCTGCCTGCTGCTCAGAAGAGCAAGTTTTGAGTTCACTCGGAAGGCGAGTAACAGGTCCTGCAAGAAAAAGAGAAGGAAAGAGGCAAATCAGAAGTTACTGCTTGCACTTTATATATTTCTAAGTTTGCCAGAGTTCAGATCCTTTGCAGTATCGAACTAATTTTCTCTTTTTTTTAAAAAAAAGGAAGTATTTGGTTTTCTCATTTTCAGAT